GATGTGAAACTACTTACAATCTTCAAATTTCATATTTTGTCATTATTATAGATATAAAACTTGATTATTTTTTTAGATAATGATGTTAGAATATATATATATATATTTATATATCTACAAATGTTTTAACAGAAGATATCCTAGGGCATCTTGACGTAAGAAGGTCAAAGTTCTAATTGATTATCTCTTATTGTTATGTTTACCTCGAGTATGATAAACGGAAGTAATTTTTGTGCATTTATACAAGTCATAACCGCATCTCTTAACAATAAACTTTCTTCTATATATATAGTTAATTGAATAGTACTCAAAGAATTGTTTAACGAACGTGAGTTTAATTTTGTATAGTTATGAATAAGAGAAATATGAGTAGTCGTAGTAGTAGTAGGCGGCGGGCATTGTCAAGTGAAAGTCAGAAAAAGATCATCATCGATGAGTAAGCACGACTTATCGAAACCTTATTAGGGTTAAAATTAATTTGCAATGATGACTTTATAGAATCCTATATATGTAAATGTACATATTAAAATGAAAAAAACGAACATCTATGATGAAGCCATACTTAACCTATAAATTAATTTAATATGTATTACATAGATAAAAAAAACGAGACTTCCGTTGCTTGTTGAGAACAAAAAATGGTAGAAGAAAGATTAATTATAGCATACCTATATTATTGAATCAAATGGCGATATGTATATATGAACACTTTCTTTTAGACACATTTATTCTCCCTCTCTCTCTCATTATAATAAATGTCATCGGAATTTTTCTCTCCCATTTAGCAGCAACGAGACGATGTGAACAAATTAAGGTATGTATGCGCGTCTAATGTATAGTTTAGTCTTTTCTTTTTCTTTTTACCTCTTTCACTCTCTCTCTCTCTTTTCAATTTCATTAGAAGCAACCAAGTGTATAAGACGCGACATATTTATATGTATATGTTCAAGTGTTCGAACTTCAAATGATTGGAACTAATATATGGGTGTATAACAACAACAACAACAACTTAAAATATTGTTTTGTTGTCAGATATTTCTAATGATTGATACAGATAAATAAATATATATATGACATCATTATTATCAATACACAAAACACATCGACAAGTGAAGAAAGGTGTTTGTCATCTTTAGAGATTAGGATATATTATAGCTACTCACTGTGTAGACTATCCTAATTGTAAATAGATGATCCGTATGTGTATCAAAGAATGATGATGATGATTTTTCTTCTCTTTTGATTTGTAAGAGTATCGATTGAAAGCACTAAATGATGCCTCTAGCCTGAATGTTCATAGATTTTACTATTATCCTGCGGTGTTTTATTTTATGATACATAGCTCACTCTCTCTCTCTCTCTCGCTTTCTTTATATATACATGGGTGGTAAAGATTATCAACAGTTGAAAGGATTCTATTGACTGAATGTCCACACGCACTAGTTCAATCGGCTTTTCTTGCATGAGGCAGGTGATAAACTTGGCATGTATGTATATATAAGAAAACCAATGGATTAAATTTAACATCCTATATTGTTAATCAAGCGAATATTTATTTATTGAAACGGAAAATTCGTTTTGTTTTGTAATCAATTGATCAATGATATATACATATATATGCTTTTACTTATCAAATCGGGTCGTCTTCTCTCATTCATAACAAATTAAACTCAAATGCACGTGTATAAATGTGCATTGAAAATCATCATTCTCTACTTGTATAAATGTCGTTCGTGTTCTCACAAAAGAGTCAGTTGTATTGTCATTTGACCATCTAACCCTCGACGATATGTGTGTACTGAACGTGCATTGATTCAATGTGACATACACACGCGATCAATTAAATTGAGAATAATTACGACGTATACTACCTCTATATATCTCTCTTTGTCTCATAAAACAATCCGTTCAACTAAAAACTTATTTTGTTTTGAAAGCAAAAGTATAAGAATCGATTTCTAGGGAAAATCAACTAGTTTGACAAGTACTTATTAGAGTCTAGTCTGAAACGCCTATCTAATCTTGAAAATATATAATTTATTTAATACAAAAAAACACTGTCATATGATAGAATGATTTCGGTGAATCGAAACATAAAATTCGATAAATTTAATGTTCAAAAATAATATAAAAATATCTCGAGGATATATATGACGCAACAGTCAGACATATAGCGTGAGCAATTTTTTGTAAGTACGCATCGTCAACTTACCTTCTCTAAATGTAAAAATAATTGCCACAACTATTAACTATGATTCTGTAAAATTTACAGCATAATAAATAATTGACAATATAAGCCACGATGTCAGATTATATTGGTTTTATGACAACTTTCATATATGTAGTTTACTCGAATTAAAATACGATAGATATATTTTTAAGATTTAAACAAATGCACATATTTACACTACAAAAAAAAAGAGCATCAATTATGATTATAAATTTAGATCACCATTTGTTTGAAGGCAAGAAATGTGACTGTGTTCAACGATTAAAACAATTATGAAATTAGTATCAATGTCAGCATTCATTTGCTTTCTTAGTAGATGTATATCCTAGATTTTATGTAGTATACATATATCTGTCTCGTTTTTCTTATTGATAATAGAGAAAAAACTCTTCTCTGTCGACCTTTTTTTTATTTCATTTCATCTTATGTATTCATTTATAAAGCGTGTCAAAGAGAACAAAAAGCCTAGTTAACTTATTCATTTTTTTTTCTTCTTTTTTTTTTTATCAAACCCTACTCGGCATTCTATAAAAAGTAGATAGACAAATATTTGTTGTTATTATTATAGGACAAAAAAAACAAGCTATCAATAAAAATGTAGTTTTTCTAGATCTATATGAATAATGTTTTCTCATAAAATTTAACTTTTTTCTTGAATTGAATGGTTGCTTATTTTTGGTTCAACTTTAGTTATAATAATGAAATACGAATACTTGATGATGCAAAGGTAAGAGCAGTCATTAGTTATTTTTGTCAATATATAATTATTTTGAAAAGCCTTTTTATGTTTTTAATGAAAAAGTATTTATTTTCTAAGCACGTCAAGGGCATATAATAGTGACATCTTTGAAAAAAAGTTTTCAATTAACATCTATGAACTTAGTTTTTTAATAGTTGATAAAATTTCATAGGAAAAAAAATTTATAGAAAAAAAAATCTAGTTTATCTATAAGATTTAATTCGTTAATAAATCAACTGGTGATGAATGAATCATCATAATATTTAAAAAAAAAATCTATTAGATTCACTAACGAGATTTTCATTTGTTGAAAAGTCATGGATTTAATCAGTAATCTTGATGCATCACGTTCTGTAAGTATTAGAATATGAATAGAAAATATATTAATCGTTTCTATTCTGAAATCGTCGTTTTTTTTTGTTCGTATATGACACTATGAAAAATTTCTGTGCTGATTCTTTATCTATTGTGACACTGAGCTATGTAACAAGGGTAATTCTTAGTCGCTCTTTTCCTTTTTTCTTTTCTTTTGTCACAGGAAATGCTAGCTTCTTTTTCTTCTTGTGCTACATAGTTAAATAAATGCAAGAAGAAAAAAATCCATAACAGTACACTATATAGTGTTAATCAAATACGTCTTGAACTATGGCTCCAATCAAGATGAACACCATAAGAGAATCAAGAAAATTGATCATCCTAGAAATTATCATGAGAGACAATTTGTTTTTTCTTTCTTATTCATTCAAACATCTATAATCAATGAACCGACTGTTATTCATAGAAGTTATTAAGCATCTTTCATCAAAAATTTATCAGTTAAAAACTATTCTTAGTGATCAGGCATATTATAAAGTAAGAGAATAGCAACTAATAAATATTTACATTTACGTATTAAATAAAGAAACAAAAAGAGAATATATTCATTATGTATATATTGATTTTTTAGGTGCAGAATGTGCGTGTAGTAGATCGTTTTAATAATCGTCAACATATAATTGGTAAAATTATTTGTTTTTTTGATAACATAAATTCGTTCTTTTTTTAAGGCACAATATACTTAACTGACAAACATTTAATATTTGTTGATCCTGAAGGAAAACGAGAAACTTGGGTAGAGTATAAAATAAATAATTAATAGATAAATCATTTGTTACTTTATATAGATTCTTCATTCTCTTATATTATCTGCGGATAAATTACCAACAACACAACAAGGATGTCCATTACGTGTTCGTACAAAACATTTTTTTTCCATTGAATTTATTATTCCAAAAGAACGTGATTGTGTAGAACTACATGCAACATTAAATCAATTGAAAGCAGGTATGAAAATTCTCTATATATGTTTTCAAACTAAAAATTTTACTTGTAGAATCACATGAAAAATTATATTGTTATCTTTATCAAGCACCGAATTATTTAGAGAAAATTTGGGATCCATTTTTACTTGCTACGGAATATATGAGAATGGGTGTACCAAATCGTGATTGGAAGGTTGAAGATAGTAATAGTAATTTTGATATGTGTGATACATATCCACCCATAATTTACGTACCAATGTCTACAACAAAACAAATGTTAATTGGTAGTTCAAAATTTCGAAGTCGAGGACGTTTACCTGTTCTTACTTATTTACATCCCAATGGGGTATGTAAAAATAGCATAAATAATATTTTTCAAGTACTTTTTTTTTTTGTCTAAATAAAAGGCATCAATAACACGTTGTTCACAACCATTATCTGGTTTCAGTGCGCGTTGTTTAGAAGATGAACAACTTCTTCAATCTATACTTAAAACAAATTCGCATTCAAGTACAATGTATATTATTGATACAAGACCTCGTGTAAGTTTATACATAAAAATAATACTCGAAGGAAATCATCTTCTGTCTAGATTTTAATGAGTCTAAAAATATTCATGAATTTCCTGTTCAAGTCATAATTATTTTACTGAAGTTTTCTTTTTTCTATTCATAGATCAATGCAGTAGCAAATCGTGCAGCAGGTAAAGGTTATGAAAATGAAGATTATTATTCGAATATACAATTTAAATTTTGTCCAATTGAAAATATACATGTTATGCGTGGTAGTTTACAAAAAGTACTTGATGGTACGAAAAAAAAATATTTCGAAAATTATTTCTATTCTTCAATTAATTTAGCTTGTGAAATGAAAAATCCATCTATGAATCAATATTTAAATGCACTTGATAGTTCATCATGGTTACAACATATAAAAGCGGTTTTAGATGCTGCTATATTTATTGCTCGAGTGAGTAAATAAATAATCTAAATGAATGTAAATTACGATTTTTATTTTTAGGCTATTGATATTGAAAAGAAAAATGTTCTTGTTCATTGTTCAGATGGTTGGGATCGTACTGCACAATGTTGTTCATTATCATCATTATTACTTTGTCCATATTATCGATCCATACATGGATTTCGAGTAAAATTCTTTTTTTTGTTAGTTATATTTTAATGAATTATTTATTATAGATGTTAATTGAAAAAGAATGGCTTTCATTTGGACATAAATTTTCTGATCGATGTGGACATACACGAACAAGTGATAATAAAGAACAATCACCTGTTTTTCTTCAATTTGTTGAAGTTGTCTGGCAATTAACTCAAATTTATCCAACAGCATTTGAATTTAATGAACGCTTCCTTATATCATTACATGATCATTCACATTCATGTCAATATGGAAATTTTGTTGGAAATTGTGAAAAAGATCGACTTGATTTAGGGTTAATTTTTTAAAAATATCTGTTGTTTTTTTATTTCAATTTATTCTATATTCTAGTGTCAAAGAACGAACATATTCATATTGGAATTATATTTTACAGAATGTAAATGATTTTAAAAACCCATTATTTCGTCCACAATCAACTTATGCAAGTGAAGTTCTTTTACCAACAATTCATTCTCAAACATTAAAGTAAAAAACCAAGAAAAAAACGATAATATTTTATTAAAATATTTAGATTTTGGATGAATATGTATCATCGTTTTGATGGCTCAATTTTACCAAAAGAAAACATTCCAAATACATTAACACATCTTATTGATCATACAGCAGCACTTAATGATCATGCACGTTTATTAGAAAAAGTAAGCATTTTTTTCGATAAAAGAAAACGTTAGTGCACACCGATGTAAACAGTGGCGGATTTAGGGGGAAATGATGGGGCGATCGCCCCCTCCCCAGGTACCGCCCCTGACTACTTATATAATCTGATAAAATATATATTGTTTATATTTTAAAGCGTATACGAGAACTTCGTACAATTCTGGAAAATGTTAATGAACAAACAAATCATAGTACAACATCTCTTCCTGAACAAGATGGTAATTTAAGTGAGACTGAACCAAGTCAAACAGCCAATAAAAATCTTCCACCATTATCATTGTCATCCGATGTCGAAAGTGGTATTAATAGTGATTATTCACCTAGTGATCGAACTTCCGTATCACCACCATTGAATCTTCAACATCAATTAAGTGGAGAAATCAATGATATTCCAACAATTGAACGTATTGCATTTGAACTTAATTCTATTGCACTTGATTGGCGTTCATATCAAGCACCTCTTCATTGTACTTGTTCATTACCATTTGATTCAGCACAACGAAAAGTAAATTAAATTTCGGTTTTTTTTCGAATTTATTTCGTATATCTTATAATTTTTAGTATAATTGTTGGCGATGTGGTGAAAACTTTTGTATACGTTGTATTGAACATGGCGTTCGTTTACCTGGTCTTTATAGTAATAGTTTAGCACCAGTATGTAAAACATGTGCACGTTCAATAAAATCATCATTATCAATGTTTGAAAATTCAACACCTAATAAATCTAATGATCAAAAACAAACAGAAATGAAATCATCCTTATCAATAAATGATGAAAACAAAATTTAATTAACCGGTGATTTGTTTATATATGGTAATTTTTATACAAGTCAGATTAAATATTTAATCCTAATGTGTTTTATCTTCATGAAATTTGAACTAATGAATTATTTTTTTTTTCTTTTCTATTTTCTAATAATGATTTTTGTTTGTTGTTTTTTCTTTTGATTGAATAATATTATGGGAACTATGCTATCAATACACAATTTCTGATGAAATAATGAAGTATATATTACTTACATGAATATAAAGCAAGGTCGAATATATAACCTTCTCGCCTATTGCATAATGAAATATTAGTTCAAAAAAAAAAGGTGCAACTCTAATATTAATTAATTTTTTTCCATTAAAACAAAAACGTTTTTTTTATTTAAATTCGTATATATTTAATTGACTAAGAAAACCTCGTGCCATTAAAAGAAAAAGAAGAAAAATAGAAGATAATGTTAATGATTAATAAACATCTTCAGCTTTTAAGTCTAATGGACTGTCGGCAGGTGTATGTCGTTGTGATGCTGCTGGTGTAGAAGTTTTCGATTGAGTACGTGGACCTGGTTCGAAACTCGAAAGAGGAGTTGATGTCTTACGAGCTGCTGGTGAAAAAACTCGTTCTTGTCGATTAATTGGTGTATTTGCTGAATGTAATATATTCGATAATTGATCAGCATTGGATGTCGATCCTCTATTATAATCTTGTAATACACGCATTAATTCTTCGCTTGGTGGTGGTAAATCATCAATACGATCAACAATTCGTACATCTCCATCGGAATGTTGTCTATTATAATCTGTATATTGATGTGGATCAACACGAAATACACCTTCTTCAATTACACGTCGAACTGTATAAGCTTTTAATGGTTCATATTCAATAATAACATTACGTGCTGGATTACGAGGCGGTATGGGTGGAGCTTTTTGTAATAAAATCGGACGTTTAACTTTTTTATAAGGTAACCATTTTTCAAATATAACTGTACGAGGTTTAGGTGGTGGTGTTGGTAATCGTTCGATAATAATTTGACGAGGTGGTGGTGGAGGTGGTGGTATAGGTTTATCAATGATACAAGGTCTAAAAAGTCACAGATAAGAAATGAAAAAATATCAGTCACTTGATTATCTTACTCAACTGGTGCTGGTGGAGTTGGTGGTCGTTCACGAATAGTTAAAGGTGGTGGTGTAAGTGCCTCAGGTTTTCTTTCACGAATAAGAAGTGGCTATAGAAAGTTTAAATTATAATCGCTTAAAAAAGAATTTATTCATACTGATTCAGGTGGAATTGGTGGTAATTGTGTTTCTCGAATAATGATGGGTGCTGGTGGTGGAGGTGTTGGAGGTTGTAAATAACGAATACGAATTTCTTTTTTATAGATTACATTTTGTGTACTTGGTTTAACGACTTTAACAGGTGGATTATCAAATGCATCCATCTGATGTAAATAATGTTCGGCTGATACACTTGGATCATTTGTAGTCGCATCATAACGAGGAATGGGTGGTGGTGTTCGTCGTGGTGAAGCTCCTGGTTTATTCATATCGTCTCCTGATTGTGTTCTAGATGCTTGACGATTAACAACAGGTGGAGGTGGTGGAGGATGTTGAACGTATGAAAGCGGTCGTCCTGATATAACTGATAATGATGGCTGTGCAGGATATTTTGAAAATGCAGAAGGATAATCAGCTGATGTTGCTTGTGATGAATTGAAAAGATAATCACTGGGATCTAAACCGAATTCGGTAAGAATGTTATTGATTTGTTGACGCTCAGGTTTAGTAGTTGTTGTTGTTGTTGTGGTGTTTTTGTCGTTTGACGTATCTGTATTATGATTTTGTGACCTGATGCGAAACGAATATTAATAAGAAGAAGTAGGAAAAAATATGATCGATAATTTTGTTTGTGGTTTTTATACGTAAAATGCAAGGGAAAAAAACAAGTATTATTGATAGTAATTATATAAAATAAAATCAGTGTAGCGGAACTGTACGTGATAGTGGTGTAACGGTACGAGCGATCATATTTAATAAAATAAGTTATTTTAGGAATGATTTTAATGATAAATAAAAAGGAATCAGAATACAAGAAAATGGCCTTGACTCAGAAAAAAAAGGAAGTGAAGCAATATTAGTCATTGATTGAAATCTTATTTCCTAATTTTCGTATGATAATTATATGAAAATGAAAGTAACGAGACGTGATCATGAAAAATATATTAATAAAACAACATATTGACTAAATAGAAATTATTCGATATATATTTATTGCCAACAAATTAATATATAATAAGCAATTGCAGTTACCCCTACTACGATCTTCATTTTTTGCAATTAAAAATAAAAACAATATTCTCAAAAAAGAAATTTATCATAGAGAAATAATCCATAACTTACGTAGCCATATTGTTTTAGATGATAGTATGCTGTTGTTAGAAAGAATATGTCTTTTCGATTGATATACCTATGTTCATAAGTTAAATATGACTAAAGTTCAAGAACATTCTTTTGTACCTATAACGATCTTTTTTTCAGGCAATTGTAAAATCAAAAAAAAAATCGCGCAAGCAAAGCATCGATGCATGACTAAAAATGTTCTATGAACTCAATCACCGAAACAAGTGGCCATAGAATACAAAAAAA